TGACACTCGACTAAAAAAAACAATACAGAAAACAACAATAATAGTGCCATTCACACGACGAAATATCAGACCCCTCTTAAGACAAGACAAGAATTGTACCAAATGTACGAGTTTCTACGAATGAGACTTGGCTAAGTCGCGCTTATTTATCACGTAAGGAAATTCGTGCTTAGGCTGTGTTTACACAATACCGAGTAGCTTTTGGTGCCGACATGAAAAGCTATTCGGTATGTTATAAACAGCAACAGCACAGAACTGAAACAAGTCGTTCGCACACCAGAGCGGTTGACCAAGAGGGTCTGGTTCTCTAAATCCCAGTCCTTACTCCTAAATATTTACTTCCGTCTCAGTGGTTTCCAGTCCACTTTTCTACTTATTCACTTCCGGTACGGTCTGAATACCTGTTCACACTACATCAAAGTGTGGCAAAGAACCTGTCCGATATGTGACGCTCGATCGGCGCGGCGCAACTTCGCACCGTTATAGAAATCGCGCCGAAATTCACACATAAGAACAATGACATCGTTCTTATCTTTGAACAGAGGCCCTATCCTGTATGATTTTCGTGCCGGCGCAGAACGTATCCGCTATAGTTTAAACCTAGCCTTAATTTTGGACTTCTTTCGTAAGTGACGTTTTGGTTTTTTCTCGTAGCAATGGAGCTAATATTATAACGTCGTATTTCTGCCCAATCACCAAATCCCCTACGATATTATGTTCCGCAAAAAATAGTTACAGTAACGTAAATAACATCTAATTATTTCTGCTTTTGTAAAAGGATAAACACTGCGAAGGATACCTGCAATAGGGGTCTATTCGCTCCCAGGACCTTCAGACTGTTGGCATCAGTGGTTCTTCTAAACGTGTCTCGATCTGAAGAAAGTGAAGAAAAAGCAGCACTATTAAAACTTTTTTTTTTTCTCCAGGCTGAAGGAAGGGCTGAAGTTTGCTGAGGAAAACCGAACGTGCTGGGCACAAAAGAAACTAGAAAAAATCTTGCCTTTGACAGTCATCTTAACGTAGCTATGTACCTCGAGTAACGTCCCTCAGTTTTTCCCGAATATCCAACAAGATTCCTTCCATAAAGGGAACTATAGCAACAAAGTCATGTCTTTGAAACTAATCTATAAATTGCACTGTACCTTGAGTAACCTCACTCAGTTTTTCTCGAATATCAAACAAGATTTCTTCCACAAAAATATCTTTCACATAATCGGTAATAAAGCCATACAAGGTGCATCTCATTCTGCAAAGGAAAATACAAGTTTACGAGCTGTTAAAAAAAGATTGACTAAATCATGTTCGACAGGGAAGAGGAATGCCATATTTCACTTAGATGTATAAAAAAGTAATAATAAACAAATAAATAAAACAAACACACACTTACTCTCCTTGCATTTTAATGGCTGCTTCAATTTCACCAACAAAGGTCATCAGAGGGATGAACACAACTATATAAATATAAAAGTATATTAGTGATACCTCGACTAGCATGTTTTCCACGTCAAATGCCCGTGTATTTACAAATGTTGCCAGCCCCGCCAGTGAAATATGGTCGCATCAACTCATGGACTTTTCTTGACCAAATTATTCTGTCAAGCCAATGAAAGAATTACACTGGGAAATAGAAGTCTTGACATTTTTTTTCTTAAAAAGTGCCTCCTTGTTCACTAACCAACAGGTCAGTTTAAGTTTCTGGTCTGAACCGAGGCTGTAGAATTAAGTTCGAAGAGTGACCAACATCAATATTCTCCTAACAACATCAGTAAATAATTAAAAGAAAAGTTTATGAGAATAAATAAAATGATCACCTAAGGGAAAAGGCTTTGATCTTTGAACAAATTTTCTCAACTGATTCTGTGAGGAAATGTATGGAGATCAGTTTGGAGAATTTAGGGGGGGGGGGGGGGGTAATTATCTAGGGGAGTAAGATTGACAGCCCCTCCCCCACCCCTCCATAAGAACGATCAACTTCTCAAGATAGACCACAACAACAGTGTAGGTTCTCTTACGTCCGTTTTCAAAAGACCACTTTCAAATTGCTCACAATACACTTTATTTCCCCTCAAAATTCTGCATAAACTTTGTTTCTAATTTCCACTGGACACAACAGTGGACCTCCCAAGAGATCCTGAAGACAAAGCTTATGAAAAATTTTGGGGGTAAATAATCTTTATTATGGGCATTGTGAAACTGGTCTATTGATAAGAAAGGATGAAGCTGAAAAAAGACCAGCATCTCAACGTCACAAGATCTTAACACTGTTTTAGAAACCCTGGCAGGTAGTGAGTCTGGCCGGCAATTGAGCCCGCGAACCCCGGTCGGCAGTCCGGCGCTCTTTCAACCGGTAAGTTAACTGATAGTGAGAATATGCCATTTCCGAGTTCCCCCGGCCCTCTGTATGAAAACGAGGTTTAGTGCTCAGCCTTTGATATGGAACTGATTTTTCATTTTCATGCAAATAAAATTCATTTTTACAAGAAAGGCTGCGCACTTGGCCTCATTTTGAAAGTGAGGGTTTTTTGAACTCGGAAGTGGCCTACTGTTTTTAACGAGAAATACATCTCATTCACGGATATTGAGGTAGCTTGTCACATCACTGGACAAGTAAACTATGGGACAGTAAGTGGCAATAACCTTTGTATGCATCATAACAACTCTCTTTGAAGATAGAGAGCATCTTGCAAACCATTTCAAGGAACTGGGGTGCATAATTGGGTAAACTGTGCATGAGATTCCTGAGATCCTGTATTAACTGTTCCACTGTTGCTGTGCTCTGAAGAAATAAAATGACACTCGACTAAAAAAAACAATACAGAAAACAACAATAATAGTGCCATTCACACGACGAAATATCAGACCCCTCTTAAGACAAGACAAGAATTGTACCAAATGTACGAGTTTCTACGAATGAGACTTGGTTGAGTCGCGCTTATTTAACACGTAAGGAAATTCGTGCTTAGGCTGTGTTTACACAATAACGAATAGCTTTTGGTGCCAACATGAAAAGCTATTCGGTATGTTATAAACAGCAACAGCACAGAACTGAAACAAGTCGTTTAAACACCAGAGCGGTTGACCAAGAGGGTCTGGTTCTCTAAATCCCAGTCCTTACTCCTAGATATTTACTTCCGTCTAAGTGGTTTCCAGTCCACTTTTCTACTTATTCACTTCCGGTACGGTCTGAATACCTGTTCACACTGCATCAAAGTGTGGCAAAGAACCAATCCGATATGTGACGCTCGATCGGCGCGGCGCAACTTCGCACCGTTATAGAAATCGCGCCGAAATTCACACATAAGAACAATGACATCGTTCTTATCTGTGAACAGAGGCCCTATCCTGTATGATTTTCGTGCCGGCGCAGAAGGTATCCGCTATAGTTTAAACCTAGCCTTAATTTTGGACTTCTTTCGTAAGTGACGTTTTGGATTTTTCTCGTAGCAATGGAGCTAATATTATAACGTCGTATTTCTGCCTAATTACCAAATACCCTACGACATGATGTTCCGCAAAAAATAGTTACAAAAACGTAAATAACATATAATTATTTTCACTTCTGCAAAAGGATAAACACCCCGAAGGATACCTGCAGTAGGGGTCTACTCGCTCCCAGGACCTTCAGACTGTTAGTATCAGTGGTTCTTCTAAACGTGTCTCGATCTGAAGAAAGTGAAGAAAAAGTAGCGCTATTAAAACTCAACTTTTCCCTCCAGGCTGAAGGAAGGGCTGAAGTTTGCTGAGGAAAACCAAACACGCCTGGCACAAAAGAAACTACAAAAAAATCTTGTCTTTGACAATTATCCCCTATGTACCTTGGGTAACGTCCCTCAGTTTTTCGCGAATACCAAACAAGATTCCTTCCATAAAGGGAACTATTGCAACAAAGTCATGTCTTTGAAAATAATCTACAAATTACGCTGTACCTTGAGTAACCTCACTCAGTTTTTCTCGAATATCAAACAAGATTTCTTCCACAAAAATATCTTTCACATAATCGGTAATAAAGCCATACAAGGTGCATCTCATTCTGCAAAGGAAAATACAACCTTATGAGCTGTTAAAAAAGAAAATTGACTAAATCATGTCGACAGGGAAGAGGAATGCCATATTTCACTTAAATGTGTAAAAAATAAATAAATAAATAAATAAAACAAACACACACTTACTCTCCTTGCATTTTAATGGCTGCTTCAATTTCACCAACAAAGGTCATCAGAGGGATGAACACAACTATATAAATGTAAAAGTACATTAGTGATACCTCGACTAGCATGTTTTCCACGTCAAATGCCCGTGTATTTACAAATGTTGCCAGCCCACCAGTGAAATATGGTCGCAGCAATTCATGGACTTTTCTTGCAAGAACAAATTATCCTGTCAAGCCAATTTAAGAATAACACTGTGAAATAGAAGTCTTGACATATTTTTCTTTAAAAAAAGCCTCCCTGTTCATTAACCAACAGGTCAGTTTTGGAACAAGTTTCTGGTCTGAACCGAGGCTGTAAAATTATGGTTTAACCATTTAAGTCCGAAGAGTGACCAACATCAATTATCTCCCAACAATATCAGTACATAATTAAAAGAAACGTTTATGAGAATAAATAAAACGATCAGCTAAGGGAAAATGCTTTGATCTTTGAACAAATTCTCTCAACTGATTCTGTAGGGAAATGTATGGAGATCAGTTTGGAGAATTTGTATGTGGATACTGAGGCTTAAGGGGTTAAGAGCCTCTCCCCATTCCGCCCCAGTGAGCAAGCACAATGAAACGAGGTAAATTCTCGGGTATTGCATTTTGTCACCGCAAGCCTCAAGTTGGTGTCTTTGTTTAAGAGAACGCGGGAACTTTATTCTGGGTCGAGACCACAACTTCCAGGGCCCAGTTGTTCAAACGTTGGGTGGAGCTATCCACCGGATAAATCACTATCCGGTGGATAAGCATTAGGGAAACTAATTGTGTTATGCACTGATCAACAGGATAGCGTCATTTACCTTTTAAACATCTGGGGCCAGGTCAAGAATATACGGTGGTGTCTAGGAGTGGGATACTCAAAATCTAATGCTTTATACCTGTAATATTTCTGGGGTTTGGTTTACACAATAGCTGTGGTTTAGTGTTGTGTAGTGGCTCCCCATACGTGTCATCATCGTCCTCATTCTAAAAAAATAAATATGAAAGGTTATCCTTGGATTTAAGCCACAATGCAGACTGGACCCTTGATTTTAACATACCGCTGTTCCAGCCATGCATTCCTGCCGTCTTTCTCTGATGTACGTGTTCATGCTTATAGCAGAAGAAGAACCTTCAAACCGATACAACGGAGTCTAAAAATAAAAAGTGGCAAGAAATCACTAGAAGCCGGTTACGAGGACAAACAAATTCACCATCACGCTTGTATCATCAATGTACATATGGGTTGACATTCCATGGGTTGACATTGTATTTCACGTGAGCCTGACTTAATGGCCTTAGCTTCCACGAGGCTCCTATAGCTTATTGGTAGAGCACATGGACTAGTAACCAAATGGTAAAAGGTTCGACAGTTATCATAAAATTCATGTAGCCAGTAGGTACTTTCCGAAAAGGCTATGGTGATTCAACAGCAAAAAAACCTGTGGAAAAACCTGGAAGAATCTTGGACATCAGTATTATTAACATACCTGAAATGCCACTACTCATTTACAGATTGCCTTGAAATTCAATACTAAGTTCTGAGAATAACAGAAGACTCTTAAATGAAAATCTAACAGACATTAGACTGAAGAAATAAGGTCCGGAATTGAACCTGTGAAATGCTGATTTAATCCTTGAGATAAGCAGACGGAGGTCTGAGATATTCAAACTCTAGTGCCTTTCGATAAAAAAAAAAGTGAAAACCAGGAATCTTACCCGCTCATCTGATTTTAATAGCCCTCGCCTCCTGAGTGTAAAGAATTCTGCCACATCACTAAACAAAAACAGCAACAACGAAAAAAGAAAAATTTATATTACTCCACTTATAAGATGTCTTGCTGATAAAAATACAAAGACCAAATTGCCAAGAGCGAATAAATATCCTCGATCGCCAGATTTCCAGCAAACAACGGATGTTCCATTAGTGGGGATGACTGGATGGACATCTGTTTTCAGCGTGAGGTTTGTTGGAAAGATTGAAATCTTTCTAATATCTGTGACAATCAAGATCTACAGATATTTGGGGTCTGTAAAGCTCTTTGATTTATCACAAAAATGTGAAATTCTGTGCATAGTCGTATATAATATAGCGAAATGCAATGAAGAAACGGCCTGGTTACCTTGAGGACTCAGAAAACGTCACTGGCCCTTGTTGAGTTGCAGTGTTTTGAACATCCAGGTAGTCACCTAGTAACACTTGAATCTGTAATAAACAGTAATACTGTTACACAAGCTGTTTTGGTGGGGCAATACCGATTATCCTTAACATTAGGTACAGTGCAACACAGATTTGACTACAGTAAACACTCGCTAATAAGAATCTAGTGGTTTAAGGTAAGGTAAGGTAACGCCTTTATTTAAAGAGGGTAAACACGTGACAGTTATGAAAAAACTGATAAACTTGTGGCCCTCTAAGAACCATCCCATTAGCTCTTCTTGTTGTGTAATCGGTAAAACCACTAAAACTAACCCTACAGCAACGATCAGATCGCATTTTATCATAAAAATGCATTTTCGATGAAATAAGCAAATTTGCACTGTACCATACACACTGAAGTGCTGTTTAATCAGTAATTATCAGTTGTTAAAGTAGTGAACGCCATATTAAATCAATCCCGATAACTGGAACCCCCGCTAACTCGAACTGTTTTTCATATTTTCCCTTCAGAGTTCGATTTACCGGGGTTCTACTGTACATCATTCTTATCTGCCAGCTTGATGTGTTTAACGTTGTGCACATTTATCATTAACACTTGTTTGCCAAGATATGCTCATGGTAACTATTGCGAAGTTTCCAGGCGACAAACCGCCATACCATCTCTGCTAGTTTCCAGGGGCCATTTGGAAATTGGTCGTGTCTGTGGGCCTTATTACTTTGGTTCTAATCCTAGACTGTGAGAGGTTCAGTGATGGTTTGAGCTATGATTGCTAAGATTTCAACTTACGGCAAACTGGATCTCAGACCAAACAACATCTATTGTGTAAATGTCTGTGTCCCCTAAATCCACCTGAGTGCCAGGTGCCTTCTGGAACATCAAGAGAAAACCCAGAGTAAGAGAGAGTAAGAAGCATTCCAATGAGAAAGTTTTCACATTTGTAATGTCATGAACATTTGAGTGCCCAAAGGGGAATCAAACCTACGACAAATAGCGCTTATGCCCTTGTGCCCCTGAGCTGCCAACATAACTGAGCATAGAGGTGGAGGGGGGCGGGGGTATTCCATGTAAATATGGGTGGGGTGTACAGCTTGCTTCCTGAAAACCAAGCCCAAAACACTTTTTCAGACCCAAACAGTTCTGGTCCCGGTTGTTCAAACGTTGGATAGCGCTATCCAGCATTTTAACAACTGCTGCCTGAAGTATACCTAATTTCAGACCGGCAAACCACACATTACAACAAGGGTCTAAAAATGACTGAGGAGAACGCACTGCCTCGGCGCTGACCATCTGCAAAAAAAGTAGAGGGGCCCAGTGGTTAGCCTGCGTCTGCGTGGCAGACGTTAAAAGGGGAAGGGAAAGGGGGAATTTGGGCGCTCGAGTGCGCGCGGGGGCACACGAGGGAGAAAGGTCTCGCGCCCTAATTCCCTTCCCCTTCCCTTTCGAATGCCTGCCACGCAGGCTACCCGGTGGTATGTTCAGCCTTTCTGGGGTTGGTGCGGAGTGGCTATGGTTGATGCCAGTGTGATGCCGACCTGTTTCATTTTGTGTCACGATTTTGATTTGCCATGAGAAACGAATTAAATTAAATTAAAGGTGACCTCCTCTGTCAAAACGTGCATACTAATAGTAAAGGATGAACCTTCTGTAAAGTACCCGGTACAACGTACATCTGTAAGTACTTACAATGATTCTGTTGATGGCTGAAAGCACAGTCTCATGAGCATGGGCCACACCCCTAAATAAGTCAAACACCACTTCTAGCAGCTCAAACAGATAATGAGGCTGGTTCTAAAAAAAGAATAAAAATGTATAACAAATAACAAGAAAAGGCAGAGCTATACAGTTCCAGAAATTTTACCATGTATTCTAGAAGGGTGATGAGCATTATTTTAATATTAATAATCTTAACTTGTTTTTGTGGGAGGGAGGGGGTGGGGGCTTAAAGGAATCTTTGTGTCTTAAATTGTTTTTTAGGCATATTTTTCAGAGGAAACATGGATGAGTGGTTAGAGCGCTGGACTTGCAATACGGAGGCTCAAAGTTCAGGTCCCACCCTCACTAGCTGCCAGCAGTATAATATGGTCTCAGTTAGGTCCTGAGTTAAACTCCTTGGCCACACTTCTAAATAGCCAACTGGTTTACCCCTGGCCAGCTGGAATTTTCACTTGCGAAGTTATCTGTTTCTGTCTATATTTCAGGGCCATAATGCAAACTACTAGAAAGACAGTACTTGCAGTTATCCCTATGAAGTCTTTGCTTGATTAATTTGCTATTAACATTGTAATTACCTGCTGAAGAATGATTTCTCCAGGCTGCCCAATTCTAAAAAATAAGAAAAATAGAAGAATGAGGAAACTAGTTTTCAATGTTGTAAAAAAATTATCATGGGCCTCATGATAATATCCATCACAATTAAACTTATTTTCAATCATAAGTAATAATGTGGCCCAACAAAGATCAAACTTCCTATTCCAGAGGGAACTTACAGCAAGGAGCTTAAAATTCTGACCACTTTTGATTTATTCACATTCTTTTGCAAGATTTAATCCAATCAGAAACCAGCTGGAAACTGTCCTCGATTTCTGATTGGTTAATGTCTGCATGAAAGAATGTGAGTTAGTTAAAGGAGGTCACACTTTTGGGTTTCTTGCTTTAACATAATTCTAGTACTTAACTAAGTTATTTATAAGTAACTATATTTACCTTTTGGAGACGAGAGTAGTTGCTCTGTGTATTATCAATGACATCTCTATCTTCATTCGTTTCTTTATTGCCTACCAATATTAGTATTAGTATTAGTATTATATTGTATCAAATATCCTGTTTTATTATCAAAATGATTCTTTTAAGAGTATTAATCACAAATTTGTTCAACCCGACTGGGTTTATAATTATTATAAAAACAAAATTGGTAATTCAAATACTAATAATCAAAGGCAAATGAATCCAAGGGCAAGATTTACAAAGTCCTGTAACCTTAAAATTAACCTGGCAAGAGTTGTTTGTTGATAAGCAGGGATGGTGCATTTGAGAGAGCTCCATCCTATCATCAATATGGCCTGAGTTTAACTCCTGGCCTCAGCAACCTATGTGGTTTGAGTTTGTAGCTGGTTCTCTTTTCTGCTCTGAGGGGTTTTACTCTTGTTACTTTTTTGTGGAGAGAAGACCCCCCCCCCCCCACACCCCTAAAGTCTAGGTCCCAAAGGGGAATTGACCCCACACCCTCCCAACCACTGCTTAAATCCTACCCGCCCAACACCCTGGGGTCAAAAAACCTCGACCCCCCGAAAAACTTTTCTCTTTTAAGAGGGCAATTGTTGATAAGCGGGGTGGTGTCTTTTGGAGAGGCCCCATCCATTAATAATTGTGGCTTGGTTTTACCTCCGGGCTCCGGACCCTTTGTGGTTTTGGTTTTTTTGTGGTTTTCTTTTTTTCTCTGGGGGGGTTTTCCCTTTTTTTTTTTTTTTGGGGAGAAGACCCCCCCCCCCCCCACACCCCTAAAGTCTGAGTTCCAGATGGGAATTGAACCCATGACCTTCCATACACTAGTTAGATGCATACCTGCCAAACCCCTGGAGTACAAAAATCTGGAGACGTCTAGAAATCTTTGCTTTGTAAGAATGTCATTTTCAACAATGTCTGAATACTCTTCAAAAATCACCCA